GTTGAGGGGCATCTAGATTGCTTTCAGGTTCTGGCTACTACAAATAATCCTCCTATGAACATAGTTGAACAGATGTCCTTGTTGTATGAATGTGCATTCTTTGGGTATATGCCCAAGAGAGGAATTGCTGGATCTTGTGGTAGACTGATTCCCATTTTCCTGAGGAACTGCCATACTGATTTCCAAAGTGGTCGTACAAGTTTGCATTCTCACAAGCAATGGAGGAGTGTTCCTCTTTCTCCACATCCACTCCAGCATAGACTGCCATTGGTGTTTTTGATTTTAGCCATTCTGGCTGGTGTAAGATGATATCTCAGAGTTGTTTTGAGTTTCATCTCCCTAATGACCAAGGATGTTGAGCACTTTCTTAAGTGTCTTTCAGACAGTTTAGATTCCTCTATTAAGAATTCTTTATTTAATTCTGCACCACACTTTTTAATTGGATTGTTTGGTATTTTGGTGGCTAGCTTCTTCTTGAGTTCATTGTATATATTGGAAATCAGCCCTCTGTCAGATGTGGGGTTGGTGAATATCTTTTCCCATTTTGTGAGCTGCCATTTTGTCTTGTTGACTGTGTCCTTTGCCTTACAGAAGCTTTTCAGTTTCTGGAGGTACCATTTATTAATTGTTGATCTCAATGAATCTGCTACTTGTGTTATGTTCAGAAAGCATTCTCCTGTACCGATTTGTTCCAGGGTATCTCTGACTTTCTCTTCTAAGAGGTTCAGTGTGGCTGGATTTATGCTGAGGTCTTTGATTCATTTGGACTTAAGTTTTGTGCATGGCAATAGATATGGATTTATCTGCAATCTTCTAGATGTCCGTATCCAGCTATGCCAGCACCATTTGTTGAAGATGCTTTCTTTTTTCCATTGTATAACTTTAGTTTCTTTGTCAAAAATCAGGTGTTTGTAGGTGTGTGGGTTAATATCAGGGATTTCAGTTTGATTCCATTGGTCTACCTGTCTATTTTTGTGCCAATACCAAGCTGTTTTCAGGACTATAGCTCTATACTAGAACTTGAAGTCAGGGATAGTGATGCCTTCAGAAGTAGCTTTATTGTACAGGGTTGGTTTGGCTATCCTGGTTTTTTTGTTTTTCCATACAAAGTTGTGTATTGTTCTTTCAAGGTCTGTGAAGAATTGTGTTTGGATTTTGATTTTAATATAATAGTTTTTATTACTTCTTTAAGACTTTCTCACACATGCTTACAATGTAGTTGAATCATATTCACCTTTAGCTCTTCCCCGCTCACTTCTCCCAGATCTACCTTTCCATCCCCTTCAATCTTTATGTCTTTAAAAAAACAACACACTGAATCCAATTTGTTGGGCCTCATTCACTCATGGGTGTGGGGTCACCCTTTGGAACATGGTCAATTTCCCAGGGACCACATGCTTAAAGAAAATACTCTTCCTCTCTTAGCAGCCATTCCCTGTGGCTCCTCATGTCCTCTTCTCTAACCACGATGTTATTGACTGGCTTGTTTTGTATAGGTCCTGCGCAGACAACCATGTCTGGAGTGCATTAGTGAGTGAGGTGGTCCAATGGTGTCTAGAAGACTCTGTTTTACTCTGGTATTCTTCAATATTTGGGTCTAATTCCAATGTTCACCCCTGCACAAATAACAAAAACCCAGTATTTTTTTTCTGAAAATTTTCAAAGTTTTGGGATTGCTAGGGAGAGTTGACTATTCTAGAAAACTCTTCTGGAGTTTTGTGCTATAATACACCTTTGTAAAAAGGTGTCTTCTTGCCTAGGGTTGGGTCTGAATGCTGCCTCAGTTTTAATTTGGTTTCTCTAGCAGAGAAGGTGGGTAGCTGCTAGCCTTTGCAGCAGGGTTGTCATTATCAGACCTGAAAAGGAAGAATCATTTATAATTTTTTAAGTAGTTGGTGGGGAGTAAAAAATAATATTTGTCACTCATGAAGTTTAGATTTCAATGTCCTGACTTTTTTTTTTGAAGCAGCCAAATTCGTTCACTTGTGGTGACCCATGCTGGCTCTTCTGCCTCTGCTGCAGCATTGAGCTATTAGTAGAGACTTTATGGCCTTAAGTATATACTACATGGCTTTTTGTAGGAAGATTTTCCTGGCCTCTAGAGATACATTTAAAGATATTCAGGATTGGTATATTCCAAATTTTATCTAATATTGTCTTCCCTTAAAAAAATTCACAACTTTAGATAGTCAAAATATTGCACATGTTCAAGTGTAAATTTTGATAACTAATTTCTCTTTTAACCATGTGAGTACTTATGCTAGCATTGTCGCAATCAAAAGTGAAAGTGTCCGCCGGGTGGTGGTACACACCTGTAATCCTAGCACTTAGGACTAGAAGCAGAAAGATCAGGAGTTGGAGGCCAGTCTTAACTATGTGGTAAATCCCAGGCTAGCCTGGGTGGCAAAAGACTTTCTCAAAACAAAACACAGTGAAAGACCCATTTTCTTCTAAAAATTTCATGTGCCTCTTTGAAATTCGCTTTCTACCATCCTTCATTGTCCTTAACAACCATGGATAGTCCTTATGTCACCAGAAATTAGTTTTTATTTTCTAGAGTTAAAAAAAATTTACAGTGTACTTCTTTGGGCTGGAACTTGCTATTGTAGAGCAGGCTGGCCTCATACTCACAGAAATTGGTCCACCCTTCTGCCTCTCTAGGGCTAGAGTTAAAGGTGTGCACCTCCATGCCCAGCATGTGTGTGGCATGTAGAAGTCATAGACTGATGTTGTTTTTTTCCTCTATTGCTATCTTAATTTTCAAGATATCGTTTCTTATTGACCTTCAAGAACAGTCTTCGTTACTGTTCTACTGCTGTGAAGAGACACCATGACCATGGCAACTCTTACAAAAGAAAGTGTTTAATTGGATATGGTGTTAGAAGTTTCGTTCATGATCATCATGGTAGGAAGCAGGCAGACATGGTGTTGGAGCAGTAGCTGTGAACGTTACATCCTGATCCTCAGGCAGCAAGGAGAGAGAGACACAAAGAGAGAGAGGAGAGAGAGAGAGAGACAGAGAGAGACAGAGACAGAGACAGAGAGAGAGAGAGACAGAGAAAGACAGGACCTAGCAGGCTTTTGAAACCTCAAGACCACCCCCAATGGCACACGCCCTCCAGCAAGGCCACACCTCCTCGTCTTTCTCAAAGAGTTCCACTGAGGACCAAACATTCAAACACGTGAGCTCCATTAAAACCATCGCAAGCAAGTCCCGGTGTCCTGCTTGTCTCTGCCTCCCCCGTGCTCACAGATGCCTGTTCCACTTGTGGCTTTTCATGTGGATTTTGTGGTTTAAACGCAGGTCCTCCTGCTTGCAAAGGAGCTACTTTACTGCCTGAGCTGTCCTCCCAGCCCTGTATAGTCTTTTTAAGTCTGGCTAATTCTACTCACACAATCACTTTCCAGTTTATCCACATTATTTGTATATTAATGGCTGATTCTCCTCTTTTCTTTTTCCTGGAGTGATAATCCATTGTATATTTGTAGACTTGTTTGTTAATTTACCTCTGCATAACATTTTCCCCATTTTGATAATTTAAAAAAGTGTATGAATTTTAAAATATTTATTTTATTTTTATTTATGTATATGTGCATTGAGTTACAGGTGGCTGTGAGCCACCTGCTATAGTCAGTGAGTACCAAACTCAGGTCCTCTGGAAGAACACTGCATTTTCTTAACCACAGAGCGTCTCTCCAGCTCTGACTTTTGTGTACATGTCTTTGCATGGCTACATGCTTTCTGACTCTCACTCCTCTTAGGGATGAAATGGCCTGATTAGAAGAAAGTTGTAGGGGCTGGAGAGGTGGTTTTTTAGTTAAGAGAATACCTCCCTTCCAGAGGATCCTGGTTTAGTTCCCAGCACCCACATGAAGGCTCACAACTGTCTGTAATTCCAATTCCAGGGATCTATTGGCACCAGGCAAACATTTATAAAATAAAATAAGTACTTTTTCCTTTTAAAGAAGAGAGGTGTGTGTTTATCTTAAGACACTGTCAGAACGATTGAAGTGGTTGGTCATTTAACATCCCCACCAGTTTTCTCAGAGGGGCTAACATTTGCCATTATCTAATAGTGTTTGCACTATCTATTTGTACAAAGTATGAGGAAGAGTTTGTGACAATCAGATTAGTTTAGGTTGTGTAGTCTGCAAGATGGTGGATACAGTTCTAACAATCAACTTCGAGGTTTAAGTGACGATACTTATTGAGAAATGTGATTGAAGACATGAAATTTTCCAGAATCCCCTCCTTTCATGTGGTCTAGGACTGTATATACATTGGAGAACACATGTTACTGTAATCTTAACTATAAATCATGTGACTTGATTTGTCCACCTCCTTCCTGGATCACGATATTTTGAGATACTGTATGATTCTAATATGCTTATAGATCAAAATAGAACTTGTCTGAACAGATTCCGGGTACCACCCCTAGGTCTACAAATCAAAACCAGGAACCTGCTGAATTTCCCTTAGAAGACACTACAGTTGAGTCTATTGTATGCTCTTCTTTTTTAACCTTGGGATTATAATTTAGGGGACTACTTGCTTGCAGTGTAGTGACAATAAGCATCATTCAGATGCAACACATTGGATTTCAAGTGAGTTCTTTGGATACTGAATTGGTACAAGTTTCTTTGTGGTTTATTTTCACTCTTTTGCTATTTGTGGATAGTTTATATATTATATCTAGGTTTGCCCATTTTGAACCCTCCCCTTCCCTCTCCCACTCCTTGCTTCAGTGTCCCTTATCTCCCCTAGTCCAGATAGAATTTGAGTTCATGATAGAACTTATGGGAATACATCAACACTTCGATATTCAGTAAAAGGCTCGTCTTCTCCCCTTCTAGAGTAATGGCCTTAAAGAGTTAATATGCTGAGTTCATTTGAGTAAACAGTATGGACACAAGTGCTCATGTATTGAAATGTCCATTTCTGCTAATCAGTGAAATTTATATACACATTGCTTTTTTTCTTTTTAAAAAATACTATTTAGAACTATTTTGGTGGAAAGCTCTCTGCTCAAGGGAAAATGCCTTGGATTGAATATAATAATGAGAAAGTGTCTGGCACAGAATTCATAATTGACTTTCTGGAAGAGAAACTTGGAGTGAACTTAAACAAAAACCTTGGCCCTCATGAAAGAGCTGTCTCAAGAGCCGTGACCAAGATGGTGGAAGACCACTTCTACTGGTGAGTCCTTGCTGTGTGTTCTTGTGCTCTCTTAGTCAGTCCAAATTCTCTTGAGTGTTCTGACACACGCCTCCTCAAGCTTTTTTGTTAAATTTTATTCAACCTTTCTCAAAGATTTTATTGGAAACAACTTTGACTTAGGGTCAAAGTTCTGTTGTCTCCAAGTACTCTAGACCAGAGGACCCCACAGGCCTTCTCAAGAGTCCATCTTTCACAGTCAACTCTGCCAAAGAGCCTGGAAATTTATAAGCAGACTGCATTACAGCAAAACTGTCTTGCAAACTGAAACTTGGATTTCATTTATAATAGCACAATCTTCCTTTGATGTTTTCCCAAACACACACACACACACACACACACACACACACACACACACACACACACACAAAACAAAAAACTTCATAGCTCACATGCTGCAATTTGCTGGATTTTAGGTGATGGGGATATTTCAATTTGTGGGGCTCATTAGTATAAACTTCTGAATGACAGTGGTGGTGCAGGCCTTTAATCCCAGCACTCAGAAGGCAGAGGCAGGTGGATCTCTGAGTTTGAGACCAGCCTGGTCTACAGTGTAAGTCCTAGAACAGCCAGGGCTACACAGAGAAACTGTCTAAAGGGAAAAGGGAAGGAGAGGAGGAAAAAGCAAGAAATAAAGGAAGGAAGGAAGGAAGGAAGGAAGGAAGGAAGGAAGGAAGGAAGGAAGGGAGGACGTGCAGAAGACACTGGAGGAAGGCGTGGAAGGCTAAGTAGAGATTGGATTCCTCAGTGTAATCACTTACACATTTGTGAGATTCTGTCACCCTTCCTCAGATAGCAGTCTGCCCTGATTGCTGCATTCATAGTTCATAGTCCCCAAATTTGACGTATCATGTAAGTTTGAAGCATCACACAGCTGGGTTGACCAGTTGCTCTGTTTTGCTTTGCTAGGCCCAAAGCTGCTTCAGCACCATGCGTGTTAGTCATATTTGGCTAGTCTTACTGCAAACCTATTTGTCTTGTGGGCTTTTCCCTCTTACATCTATTTTCTGGTGTTTCTACTCCCTTCTCTATACTAGAGATGACAGGGAGTCTCTTCCAAATATTTTCAGACTTTACTTTGTCTCCAATATTTAATTAGACATCATTAATCCCTCTTTATTAGCATTGCTATTTCTTGGTTAGATGCTGGCCCGGGAGCTTTTTCTAACCACTTCCTCCCACGGGGGCCATCTACTTGTAGGACTGAGTGTGGGCTTCTTCCTCATTGGCTCACTGTTTCATCCATTTGCCCTATTTATAAACGGAAAACTGGATGTTCCCATCTCCGAGATTTTTAAGTGGCCCTCTATTTTTTTCTCTTCCTATGTTTGATTTTTTTAACTGCTTATTCTGGGGTTGACCAGTATTCCACATCCTCTCCCTACCTCACTATAAAAATGAAGGGGCTGACCAAGGAAGTGCCGTGTGGGAGAGTATAGACACATCAGTGTGGAATAGAGCACATTGAGTGTTTGCAGGGACCCGGGTGCTTTCCATACCACGCTGCTGGAGATGCCAGGTCTCTGCTTTGTCACAGCATTATGATGCATGACTGTCTGGCTCCCTTGGCTTCTGGGAAAGGCTCATGGAAAGGATCCCATCTCATTTGTTTGCTAGGTTTCAGACTCAGCTCTGCAGTGGCAGAGGGAAATGAAGAACCTGTCCTGGGCCACTGACCATTCTGCTATTTGACAGAGTTCTACTCTTTTTATTGCTACTTTATTCCCTGGGAGAAGCTCTCAGACAGTGCGTTTCTGTCCTTCTCTTCAGTATCCCTCTGATAACATGGGAGGTAGGGCAGGCTGTGGATGTGAATGAGAGGAGACAGGAGGAAGCCGGTTGCTTCCAAGAGCTTACTTTACTTGGGAGGTACATCGTCTCCTTAAGGGCTAGTATTGTCTCTCTAACTCACTTTCCATTAGGAAAATCTGGGGGCACTTTGATCTACAATATATATTCATTCTAGTAGCAAAAGGAAAACAAATCTTTGTCCTGTTTTTTCTCTTCCCCTCTCCCCTCCTGCAGAGACATCTCCCCGCTCCCCCACCCCCACCCATCTGCTAGGGAGCTTCATATCTCCACTCTTAACAAGAATTCTAAAGCAATGACTCCCTGGACCGACTCTGACTCTTACCTTGGACTCTTCTCCTGTCCTGCTCTTCCCATCCCAGAGAGCAGAATGGAAACTGGCCTCAGTATAGGACCTGACCTCAGTGTACGTAGTTTTCTGTGAGCTTCTCTTACATGTTAATAAGCATTGAGCTCCTAGGTTATGACTGTGCTTACAATGGCGGGAGGAGAGAGTCAGTAAACCCTCAGTGCTTGGCTTAGGTATTTGATGATCTGAGGTTTTTAAAAATTTTTAATTTTATTTTGGCCTGAAACTTTAAAAATGCTTGGACACAATTTTCTACAAGGTAGAGGTGATGGAAAGTTGGTATTATTATGTAACACGACATAATTTCGCAACTCTGTTTTGGGTCTATTCAGATACGCACAGTCAGCTGTAAAGTTGTTTTTCTTGCACTTGAAATCTATATAATTACATCCCACTTGCATTATAAAAGCTATTATTGAAGATGAAAAAGGCTGTTTTTTTTCCTTTCTCCTTTGTTTTATACTGAGTGCTTAAGTTAGATCCAATGCTTGGAAAGGTTTTCTGAGTCAGGGAATCAAATTACAAGAATGAAATTGATTTTTGTAATACCCATGCTTCTTCAGTGATGCATGCTGCCCTCTTGTGGCCATCAGTGAAGACCTTTAAGTATCTTTTAACCCTATATCATAAGTGCAACACACTCAACATTCTCAATGATACAAATGTGCTTCTAGATTCCCCATAATTTGTAAATTTTAAGTTTCATTTTTTGGGCACTGGTATTGAAACCAGGGCCATGTGCATGCTGGACAAGCACTCCAGTACTGAAGGCCATTTCCAGCCTGAGTTTGGCTTTTGATGTAATTTTAGTATCCCAGGGAGATGGGGAACTTTCATGAGATGGTTTACAGGAAGGTGTGTGAAAGCCCGAATGTGATTGCAATGGCACAGATTCCTCCCATGTTTTCCCTTCCTTATCTAATGTTAGATGTATGCAGAGCTCCTGTTTGGGAGGTTGGTGAATTTTGATGGTGGTGGAGAAATACATCATAAGTTCCTACCCCTTTAAAGTAGAATATAAATAAAAGACAGTAATTCTATAAACCCATGGAGAGAGATGTTTCTTTTGAGATAGGGTCTCACTGTGTTATCTTGGCCAGCTGGGAACTCATAGAGATCCACCCACCTCTGCCTTCTGAGTGCTGGAATTAAAAGCTGTATCTCCATGAAAGGGATTCTTATGACTTGGAAGGCCATTCTCTCAGACTCAACACTTTGTATCTTTCTGTATGATGGTGTTCATTTATGCCTTGGGCTTGACTTCATGTTAGGTTATGGTGGGGATATAGCAGGCGTAAGATATTGGGTTTGATTCAGTACTAAAAATCAAAACAAAACAAAACCAACCAGGGATCACCCGTTTTTGCCCCTATTCCTTCCCTCCACCCTGACTTTTTGGTCTCCTTGACACAAGATCTGTTATATAGTCTAGTGAGTTATGTAAACTCACAATCCTTCTGCCTCAGCTTCCTGGTTGCTGGGATTATGGGCATGAGCAATGATGCTTGGCTTTTCCCCTATTTTCTTGGTTTCCTTTAGAAACATTTGAGCAAGTTTTAAATCTTTAAATCTTTGACCCCATTTTTGTAGGCAAGATTACACACATTAGTTATAATTAGGGAAATGAGTATCTTAACTTTCTGAAATAGATTTTCACATGATAAATTACGTTAATTGCTTATGCTCGTCTACTTTCCCAACTAGCCCCTCCTGCTGATTCCAGTTAATAATTCATGACACTTTGTGCACTGGGCTTCTTCCCGGTGAAGATAAAGGTGCCATGAACTCCTGAAGACACCAGTGGCGGCCACTTCATCCTCCTCCATGGATCCTTCTCTCCGTTTTTCTGAGTACATGTCATCCCTTAGAAACATCACATAGCATTGGTTGAGTGTAAAGTTGTTTTTCCTTCAGTCAGCAATTCATTCTTTAGCAAACGAAGTGAATGGCAGCTGGTGTACAGATGGCTCTCAGGCTGGAGAGAGTCTTTATGGAGAAAGTCTTTCTTAAGACCCTTATGATTGTCCTGGCTGGGGGAGAGTTTGAGGAACCGAGGGCAGGCAGTAGGCACCTACTGGTGAGATGGAGGCAAGGGTCCCAGAGGAAGCGGTAGCACGACAGAGCCAAGGACAACTGGAGTGGCAGGTGAAGGAGCTAAGGGTGATTGAAATGTTCAGGTAGAGGTGGCAGTGTCTGTAAATACTTGGAGCCAAGAAACAGGTATTGGGGGGGTGTCGCAGTCCATCCCGGCTCCTGTCACTGAAAAGCAATCTGGGTAGTTTAGAAGCTTATATCTCACTAGTCACGGAGACCAGTAAGCCTGAGGCCAAGGTTTTAGTGTTTAGCGAGGATCTGCTTTGTGACCCACAGATGACTATCATCTTAGTGTAAGGTCACATGACAGAAACTACAGGGTCATGTTTATAAGGGCAGTAATCTCACTCGAGGGCTCTGCTCATGACTTAAGTACACCAAAGGTCCTGCTTCCTAATACCACCATAAAATGGTTTTAATTAAGAAATTGGGGAACATGAACGTTCATTCTGTAGTGGGGACAGGAGGTTCATGTACTTCTGTACAGCTAATATGAAGGGTTTACAGGAGGCCAAACTGAGAGATGGGAAGGACCAGCCATGGTGAGGGCCCAGGGGTTTCTGACATTGCAAAATGATGTAATCTACAAATGTGTTGGTCTGTGAGCATAGGTTGGATGCACCTGGGTGGGAGCCATGAAGAAAATGTCTTGGAACTCCGGAAGAGTGACTCCCGGGATGCTTGCAAGGGTGAGGCGAGACAAGCAATGATGAGTTCAATTTTGGAAATGTAGTTTGCATTTCCTGAAGTTCCTCCATGTGGGACTCATGGGTCTCAGGACAGATGTCCCCTGCCTCCCTAGCTGAGATGAGAGTATGTGATCCATGCATTACTTTTTCTTTTGACACTTTGCTGGAGTTGATCCCAAAAGAACCTGGGTGGTCCTTATTTGACATTGGTCTGTAATATTGGAGAAGTAGAAAAGCAAAGAAATCGAATGCAGAGAGGGGCTGGGGAGATATTTAGTCACCACAGTGCTTACAAGGTGTGAGGACCTGAGTCTGATTTACATAACCTATGTTTTTAAAAATGATGAGTTTGGAGAGATGGTTTAGTGGCTAAGACAGCTTGCTGTTCTTCCAGAGGACCTGAGTTCTGTTCCTAGCACGCATCACAAGCAACTAACAACCACCTGTAACTCCAGCTCCAGGGGATCTGACATCTGACACCCTCTTCTGGCCTTTGGGACATATACACACATGGAGTTTACTGCCCCCACCCCTTACCCCCCAAAAAGCCAGGTGTGGTGGTGGTACACACTTGTAATCTCAGTGCTGGGAATGCAGGGGCAGGCATGGCTCTGGGGTTTACTGGCCAGCTAGTCTAGCTACCCTTGGTAAGTTCTAGGTCAGTAGAGACCCTGACTGAAAAACACTCTGGACGGAGCCTGAGGAACCTCTAGCCTCCACACTCTGTCATGCTCATGTGTCCTCATAAGATGTTCGCGTGTGTACATAGTGAACATACACTATGGACAGGCACATGCAATACTTGTGCACACACACATCCACATACATACTTGCACACACATGCATACACACACACACTCACACACAGACTCACATGCACACACACAAATACACACACTAGCACACACATCCACACATACTTGCGCACACACATACACACATACAAATTTGCACACACATACTTGCATGCACACATCCACACACTTGCACACACACATCCACACTCACTTGAACACACATGTATCCACATATGAATACATACACACTCACATGCATAAACACACACAGACACACATGCATACATAAACACTCATGCACACACGCACACACACACACACACACACACACGCACGCACGCATAGAGCAGGAAGCAGGAGAAAGACAAGTTTGCAAGGCTGCTTTTAGCCGAAGAGTTCTGAATAAGCGCGGTGTTTCTTCTTCTGCGCCCTTCATTCAAGCTGCTCGTGCGATGCCTCATACTCTTGGGTATCGTCGCCAAACTGTGTGGTGCAGACAGCCGCCTCTCCTACCTCCTGCTGCTCTGTACTCACTTCATGTCCTCACTTTCTGCACATGCCCACATGGGTATTTCCTGCTATGGAGAGGAACGAGAAGTTATCACGAGCCAGGAATCTTAACCTCTCTGTTCCCGTCTTTCCTTTATAAGACACGCGTTCCCTCCATCATGGAAAATGAGATGTCTCTCCTCTTCATATCTTCTTCCAGCCTTACTTTCTTATCTTCTGTCTTCGAACTGTGGTTTCCCTGACATTGTGCTCTCATTCTAGAACTTTCCTTAGATGATTTCATTTCCCCTCGCAGCTTTAAAACTTGCAGACATGTCCCTGCCCACCAGTTCTCCATGGAAAGTCTAAACTCATTTCGTGAGTTCCTTCTACTTTCTGAATATCTTCAGTTGCCTGGCTCCTTGGAACCTTCAAACGCAACTGGTTAACCTACCTCTCATCCCCTATATCCATTCTGCCGTGTGCGATCTAGCCCTGATTAGTGAAACCTGCTCAAATGATTAGCCAGGGAGAAACACCCACTTTCCCCCCTCATATCCACTGGTTCCTGGACTCTTCTACCTCAGTATTTCTCCATGCACTGCGTGACACCTCTCTGTCATGGTCTAGTCAACACATCATTTCTTGTCTGTCTCACTCAGCCTGTCTCCTAGCCAGCCTTTCTGCCAGCATTGCCACAAGCCTGACTATGTTTGTCTGGTTGAAATTTCCCAGTGCCTGACGATTTCTTCTGGAATGATTCAGCCTGGCTCCAGGCCTGCAGTGATCCGCTCCATAGTGCTCGGGTCCTACAAGCTCTCTCACGTACATCCTGGAGCCCGCCACTACACTCCTGGACTACTTGTAGGTCTAGAAGGCCAGTGTCGTCAGGCAGGTACAGCTTGAGCTGCTCCCCTTCCCCCCTCCAGTTATGCCTGACTTGTGTGTCTGGCTGATACACATCTTCTCTCTTGCTATGTGGACTTTTTAGCGTAGAGTTGGACATCTCTCATTTTTATGCTTTAGGTGCCCCTCTGTTCTGTTGTGACCTGTTGTAGTCTCAGTGTAGGATGACTTTTTTTTCCCTAAAGTCATTGACTTTTCAGAGTATCAAAGGTCGTGTAACACAGTTGTTGTGAATTTAGATGATGTACAGCTAGAATCTCAGTGATCATTATTCTGATGGACTAATTATTGCAGGTCTAAAAAAGACAGCACATTCACACTTATGTAGAATTCAGTGGAATCAGTGTGAGATATTTTACATCAAAAGACCCATCGCCTGCACCGTCTGTGCACAAGTACTGCTGTGAAGTTCTTTTTCCTGTTTTCAGCAAAATTCATTTCTTCACTTTGAAGTCCTTTATTTTGAGAGATTTATGAACACACACACACACATACACACACAGAGCTTTCTACAAGAATTGTAGCTAGTCTTTTAAAAAGATAACAGGGAAGAGTTCAATATGGTTGTAGTATGGAAAATGCATTATAATGAGGACTTTTAAAAAGAGAAATTCAGAAATGATTAAAAACTTTAGGTAAATCTGTTTCTTGTGTATTTTCATTTTTTAGTGGAGAGGACCAATAGAGCATAGCTTCATAAAAATGCTAAAAATTTCAGGGCGTTTTTTTGGTAGTTCTAGAGATGGATGCCAGGGCCACATATGCTGGTAAACTGTATACTACAAAATGCACCCCAGGTCTCATTTTCTTCCTAATATAAAAAATACCGTTTGTTTGTAACTACAGTTTACTATCATCCTTTGGGTTTTTCCTAATTGTTTTTACATTTCTGACTTTTAAGTACCATTGCTACATATCAATCCACATCAGGGATAGAGATGATGATCAATACGTTTTTTCAGCATGAAGAAAAATTAAAATATTTCATGTGTATACTCTCACAGCTATATTCTTCTCAGAGGGAATCCTTTATTTTATATTTACTAACTTGGTTAGTTATAAAAAACACTTTTGAGATTGTACATGTTTCTAAAAGCAAGTAAGGAAAAGTATAGGCATTGCAGCCAATAGGATGCTTGACTGTCTGCATGTGCCCTGTGGGAACACTGAAGGGTGTGTTTGCCACAAGTGCTTCCTGGTGGGAAAAGTGATTCCACAGTTCCTTGGGTGAATACTTAAAATCCTTGGAAATAGCCTGAGGGAGAGAGTTGGCTTTCTGGAGAGCAAATAACTTACATATTCACAGCATATAATTTATGACGTATAGACATAAGACAGATGTACCCTCCCCCTAACCTTTGTCCAAAAGACAAAAAAGTGTCTTAAAAAATAACCTAATCCTTTTCATCATGAAATGTGAAATACATGCACCATGCAAAACAGAAACACGGGACTTAGCACGGCACCTGCCCGTGGAGCCATCCTTAATTTCCAGAAGATGCTCTCTCCCCATTTGCTACAGCCACTGCTGTGCACCCCAGAGCGATTGCCAGCTCAGCTGAAAAGCTACAGTTTGTTTCTGTAAGACAGAATAAGAGAAAGAGCAGAGGAGACTGAGGGCGGGTGACTGGGAAGACTTGGTTAAACAGGAACACGGGATTCCATCATTCTCTCAAAGCTTGTAAGTCTAGACACCCACCAGAGTCATTGCGGTAACACCCGCTGCTCAGGCTAAACACCCCAATTATTTTTCAGTTCTGAACGATGCTCCCCGTCTCTGATGCACAGTAGTAACTTGTTTCCACACAATTCCAGGACGTTAGCTTATTGCCAGTGGGTGGACAATGTCAATGAGACCCGGAAGATGCTGTCTCTTAGTGGTGGTCCCTTCAGTAACCTGCTCAGGTGGGTCATATGCCACGTAACAAAAGGAATTGTGAAGCGGGAGATGCACGGCCACGGCATTGGCCGCTTCTCGGAGGAAGAGATTTACATGCTGATGGAGAAGGACATGCGGTCCTTAGCAGGGCTTTTGGGTAATGTATCACACCTTCTATATTTTCTGTTCTTACTGTTGCATGACGAGTAGAGTGCTGCTGGTTTGCAAACCTAACTTGGTTGGTTGGGGGTTTTGCTCCCACATGTAGGGTGTTGCTGTTGGTTTTCTGTCCTGGCTGGTCCTGCTGCCCTTGGGCTCTAAGTAAACACACAGAGACACTATATTAATTATAAAACTATTGGCCGATGATTAGGGCTTCTTATTGGCTAGCTTTGTCTAAATTACTACCCATTTCTATTAATCTAAGTACTTCCATGTGGCCTTATCTTACCAGAGAAGGATACAGACCTGTTACGCCTTTGGAGGCCTACACGGTAACTCTTCTGGTGGACCCTCTCTGCCTACCTTTCCCAGAATTCTCCTCATCTGCTAGTCCTGCCTATCGCCCTGCCTCTATTGACCACAGTGTTTTATTCATCAACCAATAAGAGATACATATATACAGGAGGACATTCCCCCATCATGTAGGGTTACATTTTCACCATTTAACCAAGTCCCTCAGTTTCCAGGAGCAACATCTGGTACTAGGTTTTAGTGTAGTTACAGAACACGTGGAGCACACTTCAGCATCAGGACCTGGCTGCAGGGGAGGCTGGCATTTCCCAGTGTGCTGTGAGGATAGGGTATTTCTGAGCCAGGAACCTCTTCTATTTATAAATTGCTTAGGCTCACAATTTACAAATTGTGAGCACATCTGCCAGTATAGTTAGACAGACTTGGTTACAGCCCAGCTTCTGACCTGTTTGTAGTGTGTGTGTGTGTGTGTGTGTGTGTGTGTGTGTGTGTGTGTGTATGTGATCATCCTAAACCTTTCATTTTGGCATGCATCCATAGTTTACTTTTTTCTAGTGTGTTTTATCCCAGATTTTGCATTTATTGCACACTGTAGGCTAAATTGTGTCTGGGGAGCTCTTTAGAGAGACATAGTATCTTAAATGCCCATGGGCTAGTGAGGATGGACTTATTCCATTAACCAGCTGGTCACAGATAGCCCTGGGCTGCTGTGGTTCTGCACTGGGTGAGCGTGATTCTTGGCTATGACAGTTCACATCCAGACTGTTCAAAGTAAGGGCCTAGATGTGAACCAGTGTCCTCTAATATGGAGCAACTAAAGGGACCAAGTCCTCAATGGGACTTCTGGTTTTATTTTCAGAAGTTGATTTTGTTCACCAGCCCTCCCATGGAGGCACAGTCATTTCCATGTCTGTCACCATCCTCATCTTAGGGCATGCTAGATTCCTTGCCTCCATGAGGAAGTGGGGGATGACATTTGTTTTGTTGAAACCTATCTGGTGCCTTAGACGTGGGGTCTCTATGGGCATACCCTCTTTGGCAGAATCATCTACATTGACCACTTTTTTTTGTTCCACATTCCAGATACTTGCTGGGCCAAGAGTCCTCCCTTGAACTCCATTTGGTACCTTGTTCTGGGAATTGTGGTCTATGAGCTATTGACCTCAGGTTGTGTACTTCTTCTTTAACAGTGGCTGTGTATGTTTCTGAATCACTCCTCTTCCTCTTTAGTTTATGCTATTGGAAGCCTCAGCAAGTAAGGAGTTGGGTCCCAGAGTTATTATGGCAAAGATTGTGCCAGTAAAAGCCTCTCAACAGTTGAAAGCATTGACTTCTTGATGGGGGATGTCCTTCTGTATATGTTTCTCTTATTGGTTAATGAATAAAACACTGTTTGGCTACTGGCCAGGCAGGAAGGATAGGCGGGGCTACCAGACTAAGAGATGAGAATTCTGGGAGAGGTAGACAGAGAGATTCTGCCAGAAACAGATGCCATGTAGCCAGCAAAGGAGTAACAGGTCCGTACCCTTCTCTGGTAAGATAAGGCCACGTGGAAATACTTAGATTAATAGAAATGGGTTAATAATTAAGACAAAGCTAGCTAGTTAGAAGCCTAAACAATCAGCCAACAGTTTTATAATTAATATAGCGTCCATGTGCTTATTTGGAGCTGAGAAGGGTGGAGGGACCTGGTAGGACAAGAAAACTTTGGACAACTTGTTATTTATTTATTTATTATCTTTTTTTTTTTTGTTTTTCCGAGAGGGTTTCTCTGCAGCTTTGGAGCCTGTCCTAGAACTCAGTCTGTAGACCAGACTGGCCTCGAACTTACAGAGATCCACCTGTCTCTGCCTCCCGAGTGCTGGGATTAAAGGTGTGCGTGCCGCTACCACCTAACTTAATATTTGTAAATTTTAAGTCTAGTGTAACGTGTAGTTTTCCCTGCCATCCGCCTGGGCCCTGCTGAGCTGTTTGAGCCCCCAAATAACACACAGGATGCTATATCAATTATAAGCTGTTGGCCATTTGCTTTATTTCTTACTGGCTATCTCTGACTTAATATTTAACCCACAGTTGCTAATCTGAGTATTTCCATATGGCCTTCGCTTACCGGAGGAAGGGTCCACATGTTGCTTCTCCTGCATCCTACATTGTGACTCTCCCTGATTCTCTTTCCCAGAATCCTCCTCGACTCCTAATCCCACCTATCTTGCTTCCCTATTGGCCAGCAGTGCTTTATTCAACAACCAATAAGAGAGACAGATTTACAGAATAGCATCTCCCATCAGTGGAGTGCTGTTCTGTGTACCGTGATGGATTCTCTTGGTCCTGCTCTGTCTAGCCCAGGACATGTATGAATCTCTCTGTCTAGCAAGTCCACAATGCAGCTTCCACTTCCTGCCACCCGTAGCAACAGATCCACTTCTGGCAAGTGTTGTAGTGCTTGAGTTGCAGTAATCCTTTTATGTCATTGCAGAGTTTGCTCTTAACTTCATTAGAAACATTGTTTTCTAGGAAAAATGTGTTTGAAACAGAAATCTTTGTTCTGACTTTTAAATTTATCAATTATATAAATTTGGAAAGGTTCAGAAAAGGACAGAGAAGGAAAAAATTCAAAATAGTTTTGTAAAACCTGTTGCTAACCTAAGTTGCCATTTTAATACTTTTAAATTCTTTTATACATAATTCTGGATCCTGTATATGTGCACATCCATCATTACATTTTCTGTACAATATGACTACGTGTCTGGTACCACACTTGATTCAGGGAAAACTTACCACACAGATTTTGATTTGCCTACTGCTTGTCTTACACTTTTGTTCTGCTAGTTCCAAGTCTACAGATACATTCGAAAAACAAACAGAAAATGAGAGAGCATGAGAATCAGATTTGAGATCCCTAGCTGTGGGCATTAGGTATGCAATTAAAGTAAGAAAAGACCACAGAACCCAGGACAAAGCCATATAGCACAACCCACTTGATAGATGAGGAAATTGAAGCCTACTGCAGTGATTGAGTAACTTTCCAAAAGCCACACATTCAGGTAGAAATGAGCTGGGGGTCAAATCTGGAGTGTCAGGCTTAAGACATTATTTTCAAATGGTTAAGTTCTTTCATGGCTTGTGTTCCAGAACTTTGACTGAGGTGACGAGGGAATAAAGAAAGGTCAGACACATACAGGAAAGCTGAGGTTGGGTTGTGTAGCCTCTCTGGTGCAGTAGCTGCAGCGCCCACAAGCTCAGTGTGTTTATTATATAGAGTTGAATACGGAGTCAGAGTTATGGCATACAGCGGAGTCAAGACACAGAGTCAGGAAATCATGGTAGGACCAGTCTCTGTGAGGAAGCAGCCTCAGGCTGTAGATATGGGGTGAGGGGACAAGACTACAGTAGACATTTTCTACACACACTGTCAATATCCACACACAAACCAGGAGGGAAGTCTTAGCCGTGCCCACATTGATAACACACATTCCCTCAGGACTTCACTGGCTCCCTACTATACACCTACAACCCCACATTTCCCCATGAATTGTGTTAAAGTGAGTTTTTATTATGTCAGGCTGGCATCTTTAGAAAAATTTCTGAAGCAGACAGAGCTTGAACTACCAAATTAAGAAGTGGTCTCCAAAGTCATGTTTAAGAATGTTCTATTTGCCCACTCCTAGAAGTGGACTATGGAATGGTTTCTGGTTGTCTGGAAATGCAGCTCTGTTGCAGAGCCCTTGTCCAGTGTAACACCCTGGGCTCCACCCCCAGGGCTGCAAACAAAACGACGAAAACAAATATGGATATGTCTGAAAACTGAGGCTGTATCCTTTCTTTGAGGGCATGCTTTTAAGAGCCTGCTCAGATGAGAGCCAAATGATAAATGTGACTTATAAATGGAAGTGAGAAAAGCTGATTTCCAGAAAGCCTCGCTTGCTTAATAAAAAATTTATTGTGCAGTTTCTAGTGTGAAGTATTTCTTTTGAATACGAAAATAGCTCAGGGTTTCTTTGGTCTTCAGTCCTTGTTGACACCAGGTTGGCACATTTGTAAGAACTACATATATTGGCTATTTTAGTAAGCATCTGTGATCCTGATTATTTAATGAAGGGTAAATGATTTAAAGTAGTGAGTTCTGCTGGAGGCAGTTTCCTGCCACCTTCTTAAGCATATGTAGTTACAATGTGGCACAGTTTTACAAATGGTTAGGTGGTGTTGTGGATAAAAGGAATCGTTTAATTCTGTATTTCAAGTAAACAGACACTTGGCTGGTCACTTAGTTCTGGATTAAATCATATATAGAAGATTAAATATTAAATATTCTAAAGAACAACATAGAAAAGCATGTATGATGAGAAATAGTAAAACCCTAGCTCTTGTGGGCTAACCACCACCTTACCTTGTGGTTCTCAGACCTTCCCAGTTGCAAGACTGCATTTTGATGCTTTTGAAAATAGATTTCATGGTGTTGATCACAGCTAGGTATTACTATGAAATGTGGAGGTGGTCACCGTGTGTGTGTGTGTGTGTGTGTGTGTGTGTGTGTGTGTATGTGTGTGTGTGTGTAAGAGGCAAAGGAGGCGGGTTGAAATAGGCCTTCGTTTCTTCTCTAGAATTTCTACTGGCTTCTATGGCTCATGATTGAGTAATAGGTGGCTGGGAATTGGATTTGGTTTCCATCTGACCACAGTGTGC